CGTTCTGAAACCTAAGGGGGGGGGAGCCATATCAATTTTCTTTTTTTTCTTTTTTTTTTTTTTAAATAAAATTTGCGTAGTCTCCGTTGTTTTAACAATCGCTTCATTCAAGCGTGCTTTCAGAACTTTTTGGAAATGTACCCTGTTTGCTTGCTTGCTTCTTCCTAGAAGACGACAGCCTCAAAAGTGCCTTTGCTTCAGTGCCTGCAGCTTCAGGAGAATAAAAGTCACCAAATATGGAAGACCTGAAATTTCACCAGAGGGACTGGCAGTCCGTGTGCTGTGGAAAAATACCCCGTGGAAAATCCACATTTCAGTTCAAATCATGTTAGAGCTACAGCGGGAGCTGCTCTGGAGTCCGTGCCCGGAGCACAGACGTATTTCAGGGCAGCAAGTTACATCTGGAGCGTCTCCAGATACTCAATTGGTTTTAAACCATTGAAGGAGGAGACACCGCTCCTTTCAGAGAGGAAGTCTTTCTTCTCCCGTATAATTATTCAAAGCAAATCTACTCCAGACATTTCCCATCAAGCCGTCCTTCGGATGCGGCCCCTCTCTGGGCATCCAGGCTCTGTTCGTGGCGTCCTTTGGCTCCTGCCAGCCGCAGCCTTGCTCGTCCTCTCCAAGGCAAACCTTGCTCTTCCTTTTCGCCCCGTGTCCCTCCTGCTCTTACCTACAATCATCTGGAATCAGGTGGTAACGCAGCAGAGGAGAGGCAGGAGGTTTGGCTGATGTTTGTAAAACAAGGTGGTTTGTTTGTACAACTAAGCACCCAGAGCCCAGCGCTTAATTTCGTCTCTTTAAAACCAACACACCCCCCCAACTATCTTTTGCCAGCTGAACTTTCCACAAGTTTTTTTAACACAAATTCTGTGCAGCCACTGCCTGCTTCGAGAAGCCGTATTTTGTTTGGACAGAAGGCTGAGATTTTACTGCAAGAGGGCTCACATTTGTCACCCAAGTACTTGCAAACCTTCAGCGTGGCGTACGCCAGACCGACGCAGAACAGCTCGCTGTGCGCTGGCAACTCAGCAGTTCCTCATGGTTTGCTCGCTCTTAATACGAGGAGAAAAGATTTCTAGCACTACCTCATTTAAAAATCACCCTGTAACACTAAATAAACCTATTTTACACTCTAACGATCAAAGCCTTTGCTTCTCCAGTATTTTCTGGCCACGCTGAACGGCTGTCCTGGTCTGCCTTTCAGAGAACAGATCTCAGTGAAATCATGATAATAAGACACCACTATTGACCGGGCTTACTGCGTTATACCAGCACTGGAAACCACAGCAAGAACTGCAGATTGCATTTCGGGATTCGCAGCACAGCTACCAACCAAAGAGAGCCCGAGGGCGGCTGCCATTTGCTAGGAGGCCAACATTTGAGCGCTGAAGTCGGTCACATCTGTACCACTCTATTCTGGGAACCGTGTTTGCGACCCAGCCCTCAACGCGAGAATCTGACAAACCACTCACGACATTTCGTCTTTCCACTGTAACACTCCGAGCCTTATTTTATACCTGCAAACACAGTACTGCTCAAAGAAAAACTCACTGAACCCACATATTCTCTTCCCAAATGGTTTTGTTTCTAATAAATCACTGCTCTTGCTTTTGCCATCTCAGCTGGTGCTCGTGGGGTCACACAGACACCAATTACACATGACCCTAATGATGATCATATTCAACTTCATTCATAACCTATGTCACTACGTAATATTCTAATCTCTGATGTACTGTACTTCTACTGATTATAGGACGAAAGAGGCCAAGGGAGAAGATTCAAACCTGGGGTTGTTTTCAGGTTAAGCATGGATCCAAGACTTTTATAACTTTCTATTAGTTTGGGGGTTGTGCGCCCCAGCTTTGGTTTCCCGTTTTATAGAGGACTATGCACAACTGGGTACGCGGTTGTAACTGCCTACCCACTGATGCTCCAGAAGATTTTTACTCTCCTCACAAATGGGGAGAAAGCCACTATGCAGGGAACACTTACAAAGAAGTTGCAAAATAACTGCGCCTTAATAACTGCGAAGGGTTTTCTGCTACCCCGCCATCATTACCGGAAGGCGCAATCAGCATGGTATCGGCACAGAAGAGTTAAAACCATAAGAAGGATTTGCAGTGAAACAACACCATATTGTCATGAAAACACAGAACTGCAAAGGAACACCAGCCTCCTTGTTAGACATTTTAGTTTATACAGTTCAAAGAAAGAAATTTTAAAGTGACCTCCCTATTATTTTAAATCCCACCCTGTAACGTCTCCTTGCTAATGCTTGTGAAGAAACAGTCATCCTGAAAGCTGAGTATTATTCACTCTCAGCTGCTAATTGGCACTTATCGTGTCCTGTTATAAACATAACGGATCAGTGTTATGTGTGAATTACAATATATCGTACATATATAATTACAATAGATGCTTACTTAGCACCTGGACTGCCAAAAAGAATTTAACTTCTGTTCACCAGACCGTTTGCACTTCAGCCTTTAAAAAGACCAGCGATGGATGCTGGCTCAGACTCTACATCACAAATAAGGAAATGCAGGGATGTCAGGAGCTGAATAACTTGTATGTACAGCATATTAATAACAGCCCTATTTCACCCAGTGAGGCCTTCAACAGAACAAAAGCAAGATACTCAGTCAAGGGGATGCTGGTGGAAAAAGTCACAGATTGCTGAAGTTGCTGTGGACGAATTGAGTGTATCAAAAAAATTTTACGCCTACATCTTGTAAAGATTAGGATGGGATCTCTGAAAGAGGGCATCAAGTTTGATACGTAATTGAATAATCTTTCCTCCTACTCATCTGGATTTACCACGATTATTAGCAGCCCATTTCAGCAGAACAATCAATGGTGCAAGAAGCAGCGGCCGGTCAGCGATTATCATCTCCTGTGAGATGCAACATGGTGTAGTCCCTTGTTTCAGATAACTTCACACTTGACCAGTTCTTTGCCTTTCTTGTTGGAGTAAGCTGCATGACTGATCTGTGATAAATCGGGGACAGAAATCTCCCTGACAATGCTCTATCAACTCTGCTATGTAAACCTCTTGTTAGAAACAACACGAGCACTTAAGGAGTGCAAAGTGTCATCAGTCTGCTGATCCCTCTGCTCCGCACACGCTGGAGGAGGTGACTTCTCCTTCTGCCCCGTGTTTCCAGGCCAGGTTGCTCATTCAGGTTCTGTCCAGGACAGAAACCATGCTTCAGGGTATGCAAGGCTGCAGCCGTCGCTAATTCACTGCCACCCACGGCGAGACTTCATTCACTGCTGCGGCGTGGCTTAGGCTTTAATACAGCCATGCAGCCATCTACAAGAGTACACCCATGGGGGATGCAGAAATGAAACGCTAACTATCGTAACAGCGATTAATCGCCCGCTGCTCTCCAAAACGGTGCCACAAACTCAGAGATCTCAGCCGTGTAACAGTGGCTACGTGGAGGGCACTATGCGTGTTAAAAGCAATAGATAGCCCAATGCACTGAATGAGCGTGGTCTGCAGTAAGATAGGCCAGTTTTGAAGGTTGTGTACCGGTTTCAGAACTCACCAAAGCGGACTTCCCCACACCTCCTGAGCCAAGGACCACTAGCTTGTACTCACGCATGGTGTGGTCTGTTCCAAGAGCGACGATCTGGAAAGCAGGAAAAAAAGCCGACAGTTAAAAGCGTACCTGCACATACAAATTTATGGCACTGTCTTCTGGAAGCAGCAACACTCTCCCCTTCTCCAAATACTCCTGGGAACAAAAATCTCTCTAGTTACAGCCAGGGTTTTTATTTTTCCACCTGGGCACTCAAGTTTAGACGGCCGCTCTGACAGCCCCAGTTTATGTGAGATGCCCAAAGCCCGACCCGTGAGCCTGCTGGGGGTGGGAGAGGAAGAGGATGAATGCACCACGGTACGGACCCAGCGCAGCCACACGTGCCAGCTGCACCGGGTAGCACGAGCTCTCGCTGCCTGTCCCCTGCATTCTCAGCATTTTATAGCCTAAAACAATGAGTATCGGACAAGAAAATTACATCAGTAAGATGAAAGCAGGGAGGTTTGCTTCTCCCAGCCACCCCCAGCAGGGAAGGATTTAGGTCAGTATTTTCTCTCTGGAAAAGGTCAGGCCTAACTTACGGCTGCCAAGGCAGAACCTCTCTGCTCGCCCAAGCAAGGGCTCTGCCTTTTTATGGAAATCTTGCGACTCCCTCGTCTCGCTACGCAGCACCAGAAAACTCCTCATTCTCACCGAGATTCCCTGACAAATAAGGCAAATGACAAAGCTGGTGATAAACATTTTACACTATGTTTACATTATAAGCCAGGCTGGGCTGTCCCTATCAACGGGGCTCAAGCAAACAATGACCTCAGCAGCTAATTATCCCCCTCGTCCCCCAGCAAGAGCGCGCGTTCTTCCCAAGTAAGGCTGCAGAAACGCCAGCGCTCCGAGGCTGGGCAAGCTGCGCTTCCCAAAGGCATTTCAGCTAACGTTGGCACAGGATTTATGGGCTCACTGGCTACAGTTTGAGGACTGCTTCAAAACCAAAAAACGTATTCCGAGTAGTTTGATAGAGAAATGCATCACCCTGTCGACTACCGTTAACAACAGCCTGTGAAGAACAGGGATCGTATTTTTAGCTTTGCAACTGGGGACAAGTCCCTGACAATCTGTGTCTCAAGTTTATATAATCATTAAATCGGGACAGGTTTTTTTCTATCATTTAAATTCCCAAGGGAAAGCTATAAAACACTAAAACACAAGAGGCAAGAGGAAACCCCACGTGCTGCCACACAGCCACAGCCAGTCCCAGCCTGAGCTGCACCGGGGCAGGCAGCCGAACACGCCGCTGACCTTGCCCAGAGATCCCCCCCTTTCGGCCCTCACCCCCCAACCACAGGGGGGTTTATGGTCTAATGGTGACACAAGCACAGGCTTAAACAAAAATAACAAAACCCTGCACGCAGCTGGAGAGAGGCAGACAGAGTCTGCGGCTGGTTTAGCACCGCTTCGAGCTCATTTTTAAGTCAGAACAGAAATTCGGGGCTCGCCTGCCCGCGCTGAGGCTCCCTGCAGTCCCGCAGCCAAGCTGCCCTTCCCTCTCCCAAGCCTTAGGGGGGAATAAAGCTGAGACTAGCAGCAGCAGCCCATAGTTTTAAGCACCTTGAGGCGGTTTTTCTTCAAGTCTTGAAACCTCTAAGAGCTGCAGTTGCTTAACTTCATAGAGATTGTGAAACTAAGTCAAACTGAAAGGGGTTTTCCAGAATGGTAACTCTAAATATGTAAAAGCAGAGCAAGCAATGTCTATGAACTCTGGTACAGCGAAAACATTTTTGGTTACAATTCTGGCAGCTGTAAGCTCTTCTGCTTAAAAATTTCCCCGAGAAGTAACATTCACTTCCTCTCGTTCAAAAATCATGATTTTGGATGGGAGGGGAATTCCAATTAGCAATGACTTTCCCCTTGATAATCCTTAAAAATTAAAAGGCGATGCATTTTTTATAAAGTATAAATGCAGCTTATTGATCCAGTTTATCTTCATCTTCCTACAGTTCCAGGTTGTTCCACCCAAGAAAACCCCAAAGCAATCAAGCTAAGGGTTAAATTTAGCTGTGAACTCTTTCACTTCTTATTTATAGTAAAAATACTTGTGGGAAAGTTTCAGCTGGGAGCAGTACAAGACTCAACTTCTCATTTCTTCTCTACAGTATTTGCTGATTTTTTTTTTTTTCAGGTGCAACAGGAAACCATGATCCCGAAACGCATGAGCCTTATTACTGTAAACCCCACATGCCTTAATTATCTTGTAGCTCCTTCACAAGTATGTTAATGTTATCTGTTTATACAAGGTGAATAGAGTGCTCAAGAAATTACTATGCTGCACCCCAGCCAACGCTTCATTTGGGAACTGTTTATGCCCACCTAAACACAGTCAGACACAGCAGCATTCATTTCCACCCAGAGCTCGGCGTGGTGGAGCTGCGTGCTGTGAAGCGACGGCTACGTTGCAAAGTGGAATGAAATGATGGGCGTTAAGTGTTTCTTTCGATTCAAGAAAAGAATACGATCGCTAAGGAGTGTAAAAAAATAACTTTTAGTGTTGTCATATATGTTGTGAAACTGCTCTCATTAGTTCCGTGGGTGCAAAAATAAAGCAGAAGCTGAGCGCGTCTCCTTGCTCGTGCTCCCTCTTCCCAGGCACACGCAGCCACCTAACTCGGGCCGGACAGCCCTGGGGCACAGGACACGTTTCGTACCAACCCATCGCTGCCCTGAGCCGCAGGCTCCCTCCTCCCCACGCTCCAACCCACCCAGCACCTGTACAGCCACCTCAAACGGGGAGTAATAAATCAGTCAGGTTCAGATTTCATCTGTCATAACGAACGAACTTGGCTTCTACACTGCAGAACACCTGACACCTCAGCATTCAGCTCTTCTCTATCCTGAACAGGAGCATCTCTTTCCTGCCGCTACTGTCACCGCCTGGGAAGTGACAGCAACGGATACTCAGCGATTCACAGCATCAGCCCCAAACTGCCCGGCTCTTCCCCGAAGGAGCGAAGGGCCCTACCCTGTGAACAGACCAACAGGTGATGAAAAGATGCAGGATGTTTGGTTTAATCCACAAAAAGGCAAGGCAGCGCAGGACCTCCGAGAAGGACCAGCAGACGGATGCGAACGCAGATGAAGCTGTAACCTGAAACGCGGCTCCAAGCGCCCGCTCGCCCCCCTCTTTGTTCAGCCAAGCCCTCGCACGCTCTCCTAACGGCACAAATCATCTCTCGCCCTGTTGCAACCGAGTGGCTGAATCAGGGTACAAAGCAGCAAAACTTTCAGGGTATTTCCCAACCAGCGGAAGAAGCCGGGCAGAGGCTGCGGGGAGGATGGTGTGGGGAGAACAGAGGCCCTTCGGGAGGCAAACCTGGCACCAAAATTAGCCGCTCCTGTTACAAAAGTTTTACCAGCCCATCAAGAAGTTTGTCATTTGGGCGGTGGGGAGAGAGAGAGAAGCATAAACAAAGCAGCTCAGTGAGCACAGCACTGAAAGGGAGCGGGTGCAAGAACTGCAGGCTAACCTGAAACGGGATGTGCACCCTGCAAAATGCAAATCCCGAGCGCAAGTTTACACATCCGCAGAAGGCAGTCTGTATTCATTAGCTTCTCCTGACCACTGGCGGAGCTGTGAGTACCGGGGGTGCAGATACGATGCTCAGTGGGAGGAAGACATTGGTAAGAGCACGTGGTCTGATGGCTTTGCATAACTTGGTGAAACGTTGGCCGTAACCGATGACACAATCCCCATTAAGTAAGATGATAACGAAAGACTAAAAAAAAACCACGCAGACACATTCTTGACTCAGCCTTAAAAAAAAACCCCAACCCTGTGCCCTGTAATCATAGATTTGTATGTTGTAGAAGAGCAGAGGACATCAGGAAAGACAGAACTTCAGACTTCAGGGTTTCTTTTCCCCATTACAGGAAACAAGGTTCAGGCAAGTTTTTATTTTAAGCAATGGATTACACACTTAGCAATTCCCAGTTAGCAGTTTCATTTGAAACGTATTGAGAACATTAAAAAACTCCTACCTTGGCATAAAAGATCTCTCATCAGTGTCAGCAGCCCGACTGAAGGTTTTCCCAGGCTCCCTACCAAGGGACTGAAAGAAAACAAAATACAAGAATTAATCATGTTTTAAATTACACTGTATGCAAGCACCAAATCTCCTCTTTATGGTTGCAAACCAAAACACGCCTGTTACAAAATCCACTCTTTTCTTTATCAATGGAGCTCTACACAATTTCTGACTACTCCAATCAAACTACCTTAAAAAAAAAACCCAAAAAAACTCCACCACAATTTAACCTTGCCTCTAGGACAGGGGAAGACTGGAGGGGGCCGGGTGGAATCCAATGGCAAAACACAATTTCTACTTGATTATGTCATTAAAAAACCACTTCACAAACTGGACTCGCAGTTAAGGTAAACCATAGGAAGACAACACAAAACTGAACTTTCTTAGGTGAAAAAGCAAAAATCAAGCTCACAACCGTACAGTTCACATTTCTGTTTAACACAGGGCCACACCGGCTTTTGGGAGCGAGCAGTACAACTCGTCCCCATGCTAGGCAGCGTCAGCTCAGCCACCCGCTCATCCACGTCAGCAGTGCAGCTTCAGCCCAAAATCAGGGTGCCCGGGGCGGAGCGGGCTCACCCACCGAGAGCCACAGCACATCCAGCACCCTGCCCACCCTGACCCACCCGAGGGGCTCGAGATTTCATTTAGGAGCACAGGTTACCTGCTGGTTTGAGTTTGGGGTTTGTTTCTTTTCCCTTTTTTTTTTTAATGCAAATTTCATGTTCCTGACTTTTGTCTACCAGATTTGATAGCAATAAAATACAGCCCGCAGACATGGCAGGAAAAGATTGCCATCACAGGGAGATGTACTTCTCTCTTCTTATGCCCCGTTTTCAAATCATTATCTAAATAACTCGCCCGTTGTTTTCTTTACGTCAATTTTTACCGGATTTATGCAAAGTTGCCAATGCTGTCCACAGTCCCCTGTACCCGCTACTTGATGACTGCATTTGCAAGAAGTTCACGCACATTTCCAAAGTCTCACTTTTTCCCCTGGCAACGCCTTCCACCCCGATACCACGGATTTCATCCCCAAGTACGTGCTGATGGCTATCCTCCCTCCATACCTGACCATTCCTTGTACAGCGGGAATTTTAAAGAACAATTCAACGACCGACTCCTATTGAAAGCCAACGGGATCCGGTCTCCCACGTCCCTTCCAACTTACTCAAACCACCCCCCCCCACCGCCCGCGCACCTGCAGCACCGCCGTGCCTGTGCCGGCGTGGGAAAGCGTTACCCCAGAAACCCGGGGAAATGTGTTTCTGAAGAACAAGCTAGAGATAACAGATCAGCAAAGATATTTTAAACCTGAGTCAGTATGAAATGAGTCAGAAGGCCGCGGCTGGACTGAGAGGCAGGGGGGAAGCCGGGCAGAGGGGGCAGCATCTGCTCCTCCGCGGCCCCCACTCGCTGCAGCGAAGCCGCTCGGGCTGGGAACGCCAGCGAGGGCACTGGCTGGGCTTCCACTGCGCCCCGAGCACGCGTCCTGTGGGTAGGTGTGAACAGGCACGGCCACTTTTTAACAGATTAACAGACTCCATCCATTCTGACAAACTGGATTCCTCAAACCCCCACCCGGCTGCTACGGATCTCCAAGCGCTCGGATCTCCAAGCGCTCAGGAGCTTCCTGTGCTCCCCAGGCTCTTTACTCCTCTCCCCCAGTTTGCTTTTCCCACAACAAGAACCCAGCTTTCTCCTGCAGCAGAGATGGGTGCTGCTTCAGCCAAATCACCCTGTTCCCACTGGACTTTTTCTCCCTAATACAGTCTACACAAAACTTACAAAAGACAAACTGAGGTCAGCCTAACCCCGCTTGAGGTTGTATCACGTTTGCAGTGTGTTTTCAGAGATTAAAACATCGTACGTTCCGCTGTCAAGAAGTCAGGAGAGAGCCAGCAACGTTTCAAGCAGCCCAGTGACCCTGAGTGATCACCAAGCGGAGGAACCATCGCTTGGCCGCTCGCAACCAGCATTGCCGCAGTAGAATCCAGTGACTGCTGCATCACCCACAAAGTAAAATTGTTTTACGGAATCCATGAGGTTTCTTTCCCGTAAGAAACACGCAGTGCCTGTGCAAGCGCGTCGCACCTCCGCAGCCCAGCGGCACGCTGTCGGCAGCACGCCTCTGCGGGAGGCCCCGGCGCAGCACCACCGCACGCCAGAAACAGGAGCGTCGGGCACTGATGCCATCAGGGGCTCTCCGAAGCGA